AGACATTTTCTAAGTGTACATAAATGTTTCTGTAATTTGACAAAATGAGGTCATAAATGCTGTTTTGTAAAGTTTTAAGATTTTAAAAGTTCTGTGTTAATACATTATCAATGGAAGAAATTCAAAGGAAGCAGAGAACCCCCTCCTTACTCTCTCCATCCTCTTCCCCTCTCTTGGGAAAAGCACTTGTCTTAGACTTCAGACCTCTCTCTGTTATTCACTTACATACATTTATAAACACATGGAACATACATGATTTTTGAAAACATGAATTAGATTATACTGAATATGACTGAAATTCTAAATTCGGTATTTTCTTCTTTGTTATTATTGTGAATAGGATCTCATTTTTAATTAATATTTCTAATCAGTTCAAAGGAATTAAGCTGTGTTTTGAATATACACTGAATCTTATATTCATCCACTTTACTCAACTGTTTTATTAATTCATATAAAGCCTCCGCATGGCTACAGTGGCCAGGCGATCATTTTAGGTGGCTGGGGTGAAGGTGGGACTCATAGGGCTTCCTGTTTTGCTACTATTTTTAATAACAATGTCTGCTTTGCATTAAAGATAAAACAAGCTCTGTTTTAAATAGCTCTGTATTATGTTATTGTAATATATTTCTATTCCTCTTTTTTAAAATGAAAAGTGACTATTGAATTTTATCAAGTGCTGTTTCAGCATCTGTTGAAATCATCACATTTTCATTATTTAATCCAGTGAATTGGATGATATTTTATTGTTATTATTAATAATAGTTGCCTTTGTGTCAAACCCTTCAGTCATTCTTGGGAGCCTCTTTGGCCATAAATAAATATTAATGAAATTTATGTATATTTTAATGTGAGATTTGTGGGTGGCTTTGATCTATAGGTGAAGATTCCCTAGACCGTGCTTCTTACTCTTTTTATCACTATTGTCCCCCTAATAAGCATTTTTTTCCTTAATTGTCCCCCCTGTAATTTTAATTCCACAGATACACTATCTATCTGTATTTGTACTGTTTGTATATCTGCACTTCCTACATAAAAGAGAGTAAGATTCTTTAGCCCCTTCAAGAACCAAATTGCTCCATTGGAATGCATGGAGCTGTCACCCCATTGTGAATACATGGCCTATAGTATTCTTTGTTTGTACATTACCTTTATTAGATTTCAGGATCAAGCCCTGTGTATCTTCACATCTTGGAATGAACTATGCAATAGGTCACACTTTTCAAGGTTCAGAAACAATGTATGGAATAGTAAGAGCTGCTTTAAGTAAAGACCAAGTCTATTCATCAGCTCCTCTCTGACCATCCTAATAAAAACAGACCAAGAAATACATTTGACCTTTGTCATCACTAACAGAGTCAGCCCCAGGGCCTTCCAATTCCAGTTCAGTCCGTTCCTGGAGAGACTTTGCCAAGCAAGACTTTGTAAATTGTAGCCCACAAGCTCTTTTCTTCACAGCATCAATCTCAGGCCCTTCAGCATGTGGATCAGAGTATTTGCAATACTTAGCGGATAAGACAGGTTATAGGACAGGAGAGGAAATCAAGGGGTGAGGGCCTAGAATGTCATTAGACCCCTAAAGCTGTATGCATTGCTTAGCAGGAGAACATGGCAGCCATGGAGAACAAGACTCCTTTGGGGCAGCTGCTTGTAAAGCCAAGAAGTGAAGCCAAGGATTGACAGTACAGTAGCTGGATTTGAACCCAGAGAGAAGAAGTGGAGGGCAGAGGTTGGAGTCACCAGCTGAGCTGTAGATTGGGATGTTGCAATAGGTATTAAAGTACAGAAGGGTGAGAGCCCCAGGCTCTGTTCTCAAAGGCTTATATTGCCTGTAGCACATGCCTCTTTTGTAGCTTCAGTCCTGTCTTAAAGGGCTAGAACTCCTTAATTTCCATTTTTCAAGGGAGGTGATTAGTCTGGGAAAGTTTGGGAGGATTTAGTATTCACCCATATTGTGGTAGACACACCCTAAGGTGACCTCCAATAAATAACACTCCTGTATAGTAATCCCCTCCCGTTAGATGTAAGTGGAACCTTGTGACTTGCTTCTAACTAGTGTATCATGGCAAAGGTGATGGGGTGTCACTCCTTAATTACATATGATAGATACAGATATAGCTAGCTAGCTAGCTAGACAGACAGACAGACTGGAGAGATTCTCCTGTTGACCTTGAAGAAGCAAAATGCCATGTTGTGAACTGCCTATGGGGAGGGTCACGTGGCAAGGAGCAGCAGGTGGCCTTAGGACCTGAGGATAGCCAACAGTTAGTAAGAAGCTGGGGCCTTAGGCAAACAGCCATAAGGAAATGGATTCTGCCAACAGCCAATAAGCTTGGAAGCAGATTTTTCCCATCAAGGCACCAGATAAGAACACTGTACAGTTAACACCTTGATTACCACCTGTGAAACTCTGAGCCAGGAACCCAGCTAAGCTGTACCTGGACTTCTAAGCCAGCGAAACTGTAAGATAATAAATACGTATTATTTTGAGCCGCTGGATTTGTGGTAATTTGTTATGCAGCAACAGAACACTGTTGCCATATATGTGTGTGTGTGTGTATATATGTGTGTGTGTGTGTGTGTGTGTGTATATATATATATATGTGATCGATCTATATCTATATACCTGGACACTTCTTGTTGAGTAGCTTTCTAAATTTCTTTCTCCCTCCAAGTTATTGGTTTAATATTTACTAGGTTAAGTATGGACTTCCATATTGTAAAAAAAAAAAAAAGAAAAAAATTGTTCTTTTCACTCATATGTTCAAATCTTATTAGCAAATGCTTTTGTGTTCTATTCTTATTTTTAAATTTTGTATATTGGTTGGTATCTCCTTTCTCAATTCAGATTTTATTGAAATGCCTTTACTTTTCAAATACTTAGCTTTTGGTTTTATTTACTGCGTCCAGAGAAATTATTTTTTACTTTCAAAATGATTTCCTTCTGCTTTTATGGTTGTATTTTCTTCTTCCTCTTTAGTCTGGCTTGTCTTTTCCTTCCTTTTCTCATATTGTCAATTGAATTCTTTCTAAAATATTCCCTTTTATCAACCACCAAAAAAGAGAAAATTTTAAATCATAAAATTTCCTAAAAGTACTGCTTTGACTACATTCCACAGAGATTACTGTGGCATGTTTTAACCAACATTGTTTTCTGAATAAACTCCTTTTGTGTTCTTTATTTCCTTTCCAATTCAACTGTTGACTCAGTAAGTATTTTTACATTTCCAAGTAGTTGGTTTATTTTTATTTGTTTTGGTTGTTACTTTATATTTCATTCTATTTTGGCCAGAGAACATAGCACATTTCATTTCTGTTCTTTTTGAACTAGTAGAGATTATGTCTGTGGTCTAGCATGTGGTGTATGACACCATATGGGCAACTGCCATGGACAGTTGGAAATTATACATAGTACAAGATATCCATTAATTCTATCTCTAAGAGATTTTTTTCTCAAGGGCTGGGACAGTCTCAGGAACTAAAGTGAGAGTTGAGGAATATCTAAAACTGTATTAGCAGGGGGACTCTGGTTCCAGGCTGAGCTGGGAAGGGCACCACTCAAGTAGCCTAGGAGTGTGTTGCTGAAATAGAGGGGGAATAGTTAAGAGAATAGCTGGTACGACAGGCCAGAGAGGTGGAGAAATAAGGTGTCACATGCACAGTGAGGCAGGTCCAACAGTAGACAAGCAAAGACGTCAAAGAGGAGATAAAGAGTGAGCGGTGGATCTCTCTGGCATATTTTGGGGTGGCATTTTCTGCTACCCTTCAAGGTCAAGAACAGCACACTGTAGGAGAGCCTGAAGTTAGGAGGAGCCGGAACACTTGTTAACTTCCACAACCTCGGCACTGGCCCTGGAGGCCTGCCAGACTTTACCTTACTTAGGAAAAATACTCCATTTGATTAATCTGCCATATTTGCATTTCTATTATTATGCAGTTGAATTCAAGCCTCACTGAGGATAGGACAGTAAAATCTCTTACTATAATTGTTTTTCTAAAATGAAATTTTCTTGTATTTATGCCCATTTTTGCTTTCTGCATTTTATAACTATATTTTAGGGTCATATATATTCAATGTTCTTAATATTTTATTATTAAATATGTCTTTTCTATTATATGATGATCTTTTCATTCTTTTGAATACTTTTTCCTTTTATTTGGTAGGCAGTGAAAAGCAAAAAAAATTTTTCTCATAGAAGAGAGTTAAAAGTTCTGATTGTCGTTAGTTAGGACCAAATGTAGAAAAGGAAATGTTTATTGTTTGTTTTAAGTTAATTGCCCATTACTGCTAAAAAAAAAAAAATGACTTACCACACATACTTACTTGCAAGATACAAATAAGCAAAAGACATAATGGAAAAGAGATAAGGAAATATAAAAATCAAAATAAAATATGAACCCAGGAAATGACTAAACATGAGAGTAAGTGAATACAGTCAAAATTCTTCTACTGCATACAAAGCACCCCAGTTCAGATCGAAAAACAAAATCCGTTAGTAAATTATGAGGTACACTCAAAGGTTTTTTTAAAAGAAAAAACCTGGAAAGTTAGATGACTATTTCTATCAAAATCAAACAGAAAAGGGAAAGGAGGATTTCTAGAATCATGAGTGGCCTCTGAGGGCCCCTCATCTCCTCAATCCGGTTCTCCCATGGAGAGGGGGCCACTGCCCCCAAATGCCTCGGCTCTAAGGTGTGCTGTCAGGGGTCCCTGGAGGCTCCCCTTGTAGGTACAAACCTCAGTCCACCAACTCAAGTGAAGAAGAAACAGAAGCTTCTCTGTTTTCCTTGATGCAGCTGAACTTCTAGTATAGTCTCCCAGGCCATCAAGGTGTCCCGATTCATCCCAGCCATATACGGTCCACCCTCTTTTCCTCCGGGTGTCTAGTTGTTGAAACTCAGTCATGGGTACAAGGAAGTTCATTATACTAGTTTGCCTAATTTTGCATATGTTCTGAAATTTGCCGTAGTGACTTTCTTTTTTCTTTTTCTTTTTTTTGAAGGAGACCTTCCACATAAAAATTCTGATTTTGGATTCTTTTGGAAAAATGGAAATACCTGGTAACACTAGCCCAGACCTCCACCGTGTAGCAACCAGCCAAATTGAGAAGTGTTACAGGAACATGCCGTCCAGGGAACCACAGACCCCACCACTCCCTGGTGCCCTTAAAGCCCACTTCCTGTATCTGTGCTTCAGCCTCAACATCAGCCTCTGGTTTGCAATCCATAAGAACTTTCCTTTCCTTCCTTCTGGGCCTTCACTCTCCTTCCCTGGGCCCAGCCATCACGGGTCAGGTCGGGCTGGGCCAAAGTGGGTGCTTGACTTTCCCTTCCTTTTCATGATGTTTTTCTACCAAATCGTTTTTCTGTGCTCTGAAACCTTTTTGGTCCCCCAAGAGTGGAGGATTTTGAAACTCAAAAGCCAGAAGGAGACACTTCTCCCTCCTCCATCCCCTCCGGGGCAGTGCTTCATATCACATCCCTTCCCTGAGGGAGTGCGAAAGAACAGCCTGAGACTTTAAAAGGGGAAACAGCAGACCAGGATGGGAAGGAAACCAGGGGGGAAATTTGGTTAAGAAGGAGATATGGGTCTTAGACATATCAGATTTGCAACTATTAAAACGTTGGATGATATCAAGTGACACAAAAGGTGAAGGAAAGCAGAATATCTCATAGGAATGTTAACTAATCTTTCTAGGAAGCAGATTGACAGTGTTAAGTGATGTGGAATATGGGCCACTCCTACAACCCAGTACTTGGGGACGCTGAGCCCAGAGACATTCTTGCCCAGGCCCCCAAAGAAACATGTGTGGATTTGTTCTTGGAGAATTGTTTGTAATAATGAAGATTTGGAAACACCTAGAAGTTTATTCATAGGAAAGTAGTTACATAAAAGGTTATATGAAAATGCTGAGTACCATTCAGCAGATAAAAGGAATGCTCTGGTCCATATTTACTTATATTAACTTGCAGCCATCTCAAAATCTCATAGTCTTGACTGGAAAAAAGTGAGAAAAGAATGACATGTTTACCAAAGACTACTTAAGCATATTTTTAAAAATATGCACAAAATAATACCAATATTGGGCCTAGATACACATAGAAATATAGATTGGCCAGACACAAAGAATCACAAGGACGTAAGAGGAGAAAAATGAGATTGGGGATGGGGTGAAGGGGTCAAGAAAATAAAGTAAAATAAAAGTGAGCCCTGCATATGCTAATAAAGATGGTATGCATGTGGCTAATTGATCCTGAGCAAAGGAGGTCTCGGCAAACAGAAAACTACAGCAAAACAAAACATCAGTTAATGTTTAAAATATTAACCTGATGCCTGTGGAAAGAGAACTCTGTGAATAACCAAAGGTCTGATGAGTGCCCAGAGGTGACCGAGCAGTCCTGCAGTCCCTGTGATTCCCTCCAACTGATCTCCTGCTGGGGTCACTCCATAGCTTGGCCTTGAGTTGCTTTTATCCACAGACTTTCAGCCTCCCAGCACCGCTGACTGCTCTCAGGAAAACTGTTGGATCACGAGATTTTCCCACAGAGATCGTCACCATGGGGTATCTTCAACCTGTTATTAGCCTCGAGTTCCTCCAGCAAAGTCAGGATATCCTGGGAACGAGTACTCCTCCAGCCCCTGAAGCCTCCTTTTTAATGCGCCTTCAGTACCCAAAACTTTCTCAGACAGAGTGTTATATGAGGTCCAGCTTTTTTTGCTTGGGGTGTGGAGGACAGAGGTGAGCGGTTCTGGCCAGCAGCTCTGTTTCCCCTTGAAGCCCCACTCTTGGGGAGCGAGGGGGAGAAAGAGAGACGAGGAGCTATTTGCTGTCTCCCTAATCCATCCTTCTCTCTCTTTCTCTTCCCCTCCCTCCTTTCCTTAGAAACATATATTCAGTGCTGAGTGTACACAAGGCATGTGGCAGCCCCCATTGAATCTGGCATTGTCCCCTGCCCTCAAGGAGAGTCAAGTCCGGGGGGGAGCAAGCGGTGAGTGTGGTCAAGCATGGTAGGGATTTGTGAGGGGCGAGGGAGCTATGAGACCACAGAGGCGGGCAGCTATATCACATGGGAGGCTTCTTGGAGGTGGTCCTCCTTGAGCTGAGTCTGAAAGGGTAAATAGAGGTAACAAGAAGGGGAATAATGGGGGAAAGGTATTCTATTGCAATGGCTGGGAGGCATGAAACAGCAGGACATAGAGGGAGCTGTCAGCAGTTCATCATGTCTGGATTTGGGGCTCCGGAAGAGCCTTGGGTGCTAGGACTTCGCTCATGTTCTATCTTCTCCCTGAAGCCTGCAGAACTACCCCAGTCCTGCCAGATCCCCCTCTTCTGAAATCTTGGACCAACCTTTTATAATTGCATGTTCCCCTACTGTTATGGGGTGTGTGTGTGTGTGTGTGTGTGTGTGTGTGTGTATGTGTGTGTGAGTGTGAAGGTTTTGTTTCCCAGTCTCAACTTGGAGAGGGGCCCACAAGCCCAGGGTTTCTCCCACCCAGTGCCTTGCATCCAGCCTTCACCCCACCGAGAGGGTGTACTGTTCAGTGGGGAAGCAGACTGAGGCGGCGGGTAGCAGCACCAAATCCCACATAGTGCGTTGGGTTTTCAGCCTGAGCGGCTTCTGTAGGGATATGTCTGACCGGGCTGTCATCTGGGCCAATGCCCAGGTGAATGTTCTTCTCAGAGGGAGACCTGAAAGCCCTGGTATTCAGCCTCTCAGATGGTGCCCAGTGAGCCCCACCTCCCGGTTTTCATGGTCTTGTGCAGTCTCCTCCCACATTGTGTCAGGATTGAGCGGTATGACCAACAAAATACAGCAGATTGATGGCATATGCCTTTGAGGCTAGCTCAATAAAAGACACTGTGACTTCTGCATTAGTTCCTGTCTTGGACTGCTCACTCTGGAAGAAGCCAGCTGCCATGTCGTCAGGACACACAAGCAGCCCTATCAAAGGTCCATGTGGTACAGAACCGAGGCCTCCTGCCAACAGCCATGAGAGGAGCCATCTTGCATGTGGACCCCCAGCTCCAATCAAGCCTTCAGATGACAGCAGCCCCGTTCAACATCTTGAGACCTTGAGCCAGAACAACCCAGCTCAGGTGCTTCCAAATTCCTGACTCTTAGACTGTTAGAGATGATAAGTGTTTATCATTTAAGTCATGAAGTTTGGGGTAATTTGTTACATAGTGATAGATAACTAACACAAAGCACTCGGCAACACTGTGTGGCTTTTCCTGCTATGGGTTTGGGGGTTTCCTGGCTGGGGTTTTGCCTCCTGTGACAGCAGAAATATGAGGGCTCCCAAAGGTCACAGCCACTCACCCCGTTCCTTCCTTCCACAGGTGCTTCCCTTGATGGGATCAATAGCCCAGCAGCAGATGCAGAAGAACTCTCCTCTGAACTTTCCTTATCTGCCTGGCACAGAGCATGGAGAATCAGCAGCCACCCCCCCACCTCCACCCTCCAGCTGGTCTCCAGTCAGGGAGGCACTGACCTTGGGCACCAGGACATTCCCAAAGAAATTGTGTAAACAAGCCTCATCAGAGCCTTCCATCTTTTGAAGCCCTCCCCCTCCCCCGCCCGCTTTTGTTAAGTTGGTATATGAACCTTTGCCTCTGGTTCCTCAGTGAGTTACTCATTACACAGTGCTCCTGCACTCAGTGTGTGCATAAACTTTGTCTTTTCTCCTGTTAATCTAGCCCCTACCCCCAACCCTCGAACCTAAATTGGTAGAGAAAAAAGTTTTTCCTCCCGATACTCTCTAATCAAAGGAATCCCCAGGGGCTATCAGCTGGGAAGTTCTGGAGCCCTTTGCACTGAGTTTGCTCTCTGGTCACGTGAACTTTCCTTAAGAACAGCCACCTCTGCAGGGCAGCTGCCCCAGGGAGTCTCAACCCCACACCCCAGCACAGGTGGCCAGGGGCCCCCAGAAACACAACTGCTGGACCTGAGGTCACAGCAAGGGCAAACTCTGACTTACAGAAGCTGCATCTCCTGGTCTGTAGCAGCTTCTTTTCAGATTTTGGCTTATTTAGCAAACACTTAGTGCTTGCTCTGTGCTAGGCTCTGTTTTAAGTACATTAAGTCATTTAATCCTCATAACAGCCCTATGAGGTCAATGCTATTGTCTTCATTTTACAGATAAGAATCCTAAGGCACAGAGAGGTTAAGCAATTTGCTCAAGGTCACACAGCGAGTAGTAGCAGCATAGGAATTTGCACATGGGCAGCCTGGCTGTGCACTCTGTCCTGAGGTAAGAATTGTCCATTCGGTGATCATTCTGTGCCACTGGGGCACTGTTTCTTGGCCAGGGCTCCTGGGGCTGGACAGGGTTATGTGTTTGAGTTCTGGCTATAGGGAATCCAGAGGTCCACATCCCAGCTGGGCATGGCCTCCTGAGGAAGCCAGGCTACATCCTTACTAGGGAAAACCACAGGGGTTTACCTTCTGAGGTCAACCTCTGTACTCAGTCCTGAGGGTCTGCCTGAGGCGTGCCTGGGGCAGGAGGATATCCTCTCTGACCACGCTCATTCTTGTCTTCTCCCCTTAGCTCAGCCAGGCACCTGCGGAGAGACCCTCACACTTCCCGTCTGCCTACACCAGTGGTTCTCAACCAAGAGCAATTTTGCCCCCCGAAGGACATGTGGTGATGTCTAGAGACATTTTTGATTGTTGTGACCAGAAGGCTGCTACTGGCACCTAGTAAGTAGAGGCCAAAAATGGTGCTAAACGTTCTGAAATGCACAGGATGAGGCCTCACAACAAAGGGATTACCTGGTCCAAAAGGTCAGCAATGCCGAGGTTGAGAAACTGACCGGGGCCCATCTCACAGCCTCCTTGAGGCTGAGGACCCTCCACCACACACACATACACACACACGATCTGATTTCTGTTACAGTGGTGGTCCAGGGTCCTGGGGGTGGGGGCAACATGCATCCTCACCTCAGCATCTCTTAGAGGCCACCTCAGAACATGAAAGACTCAGTTTGCGCTGCAGCTACAAGTTTTTGGAGATAAGAATTTTGAGGCAAATGTAGCTGATGTTCTTTTGTATCAGGCTCTGTGCTAAGTAAGCATTTCACATATTTGATCTTAGGAAATCTTCATAAACCAGTCTTAGATGCTATTATTATCCCTATTTCAAAGATTGGGAAACTGAGGCTGAAAAAGGTTAAGGAACTCACCCAAGGTCACACAGCTAATAGGTGACAGGGCCAGGTTTCCAGCTGACCCATGCAGACCGATGGCACAGATGCACATACCCAGGCAAAGTAAAGATAGCAAGTTTCCAGGGAGAGCCCGCCTGATGCCCACCCTGGGCCTGCCGGAGGTCAGGGGTTTGGTGCCCTCCCCTGGGACGGAGGGATCCAGCACCACTCCACTGCACAGCTGCAACCAAGACTCTCCGAGCTGGGCAGAGAGCAGCTTGACCTGCCATGGTTCTTAAAGAGGGAGGAGTGGAGAGAAGGCAGAGGCGGGTTTGTTTTGTACAGGGACGGTAAAGACAGAAAACCCACCGGGAAGAGATGGGCGAAGAAGCCAGGCTCGGGAGCTCTTTATTAGTTACTGTAGCAGGGGAAAGAATGGGAAGCTTCTTTCTAAGCCGTAAATGCCATCCTTTGATCCCTGTGCCTATCAGAGATAAATGAGTCACTTAGGCCTCAGAAATTAATGATCGTTCTAATTATTACCTTAAGTGACCTTCCAGCAGTAGTAATTCTCACCACTCCCTGCAAAGTAGCTGTGTCCGGGTTTGACCAGGGTTGGGGAAGAGGCCGGACCAAAGTGGGGAGAGTTCCTTTGGTGACTGGGCTCAGTTTGCAAAGAGGAAATCAGCCTCAGCTCTTCAGGCCAGAGAACAGTTCGACCCAGACCCCAGCTTCTGGGCTCTGCCTTCTTCTGTGCCTTCAGGGCCCTGTTGAACCCTGACCCCACTGAGAGGGTTGGACCAGAAGTGTGTGCAGAGCTCCAGGGCCATCTGAAAGCAAGAGGTCGTTTGGTGCAAAGTTAACACGACCTTCCGCAGGCCCCTGCCCATTCAGATTCAAGGAAGAGCTTTGAAGTTTCCTTTGTGTGCATGTTTTCATAGCCCTGATCCTGCTGTACTGGAATTAGCCTGCAGCCCTGCCCATCCCTGGAGATTTATTCCCCAGCTACAAAAATCTTAGAAAAATACTGCAAGCTCCACCCAGCATCCCCAAGCCACTGGCTGCTTTTTCCTCAGGCTAAAATACAAAGGAGACCTCAGAACCGCCACCAGGAGACATTTTGTACGTGTTTATAGTTTCTCTAGAGTCATTCCGATGACCCCCTAGAACCGGATCTCGGGGCAAAAGCTTCCAAGATGTGCATGCTGGGAGGTGGGGCGAACGTGGTAAGAGGAAGGGTGAGAGAACAGATTGTCCCTGAAGCTGCCAAGGGCCAGGGCAGTACCAGCAGGGTCCAAAGAGAAGAAAAAGCAGGTGGACTGAGCCTTTCCAGTCGTACCCCATGAGCCAACCACTGCACTTTGTGTAGACAAACATCAGTCTCAGGAATCTGTGTTGCTCTGAGCGTCACAAAAGGGCCTCTGCTATCATATTGCCCAACCCCACCAGAAGGTCTGTAAGCTGGTATTGAAGAAGGGGGGTGGGGCAGAGGGAGGGGGAGTGGAGGAAGAAGAAAGACTGAAACAGATAGACGGACAGACAGGGAGGGAGGGAAGCCCGGAATCCCAAAGCCCGGAATCCCAAATCCCAAAGCAAAATGCCAGGTAGATTTTGCTTACCTGATTTGCTTTTCAGAGTAAAGACTCTGAGCAATGGTGCCATCTTGTGGTCATGAGGAGGAATTACAACCAGTCTCTCTCTCCCTCCCCCCGCATCCCTCCCTCCCTCCTTCCCTCCATCCCTTTATCCCCCCCCCACCTCTGTCTCTCTCTACTGGGTACATAAATAGATCACATAATGGGAAGTACTAATAAGTGTAAGGAAGAGAAATCTAGCAGGAGAATTGTAAGGCCATTTCAGGTAGTAATTGACCAGGCACAACTATTATTAAGCGGCTGACATTTGCTCAGAGGCCTGAAGGGGGCGACGGAGCAGGCCGAGTGCATATCCGAGGGAAGAAGGAATCGCCAAGTGTAAAGGATGCAAAGGCCTGAAGCTTATGTGTGGATCTCCTCAGGGCTGTGGTTCTAGCAGAAGCAGCTCTAGGAGATGACGCACGAAATGATGTAGGGGTCTAGAGTCTAGGGACTAAGAATAGATCTGACATGTATCCCTTCTCTGGCCAGCCCTGTTGTCAGCATCCAAAGATACCTTTAGAGAAATCCACCTGCCCAGGGCCCACAGAGCACGTGGGGTGGCCATGCTCTAGGTCCACAGTCAGGATCTTTTCTGGCTCCCATCCTTCCAAATCCAGAAGCTGACTTTCTCCCGCCAGATGGAGAAGCTTAATTAACATACAACAAGAAAATTACAATTTCTAGAGCCTCAAATAAAAGATGCCCCTAAAACTCCATAAAAATGGAACTGACCCCATTTCTTAGGGCTTCAGTTCTGCTTCCTTTTTTTTAAGAAACATTTAAGTTTTTAAAAACAAAGTAATATATATTCATAGTTTAAAAGTCAATAGTATTACGATGTTCATAATAAAAAAGAGCATCCTTTCTACCTCCCAGTCCCTTTCTCCAGAGCAAGCACGTCTAGTCTTCCCCTATTTGAGAAGCTGACTTTTGATGTGAGAAATCCAACACGCTTCACTGTCTGGGCCGGTGTTTTCTTTCCCCAAATTGTTGGACTCCCTTATGTGGCCAATGGTGATCCCACGACTCTGCCTTTGCTTATATCAAACAGCCCAGATCTCCAGCTGAATGACATGTCCACTAAGAACGCAAAGGTGAAATAAAAGAAGAGCAGCTCTTTCTGAGAGAGAGAAGGCCCAAGTGTTCGAGACTTGCCTACTGGCCAGTTCGTGTTCCGGGCTGGCCTGCTCTGCCCCTTGCTCATTTCACAAATGGTGCACAGTGTCCAGGTGTGTTTTGCTCCATTTCCAGGTTAATAGAGCACAGTTTGCAGCTGTGCTTACAAAATATCACCTGGAATATTATTTGGGGGTAGGGTGTGGGTTGCTAAGCTTTTTTCTTTATTTCTGTAGGTTTATATTCTCTGTAGGCAGGGAGCCAGTTGCTTACAAGTAAAACTGCTCCAAACTAGATTGCTATCAGAGCCCATTTGGTTTTGCTTTTCCAGCATATGAGTCAACAAGAATGAGTCAGATGCTTCCTGAGTGGCCTCTGGGTAGATGAGGTGACTGTTTCGTCAGGTTACTTGACTCAGAAGGTCAGAAATGCCCGCAACAAGAAACCCTAGGACTTGATAGCTTTTTTTCAGTGTTTGCATTCACAATCCTGTGCAGGGGCCCCAGTCTTTTCCCTGAGAGCATTCAGTAGCCTGGGTGGCCAGGTCAAATGACTGCTACCAAAATAAAAAAACAAAACAAAACAAGACCCACAGGAATGTTACAAAACAGTGAATCTAGTCTTTTCATTTTTGTGGTTTTGGCAACTGCTTTATTTGGGTATGTTCTTGATGGTTGATGGTTTCAGAGGGTTCTATCCAAGTGGAAGTCCTCTGACGAGAAAGTGTAAGTTGTTCCTTGTAACATTCCCCATGTCAGGGAACTTGGGCTGACTGCAGCTCCAAGCTCTTGCTCTGGGCTCTTCAGGGTCAGTGTCTTCTGCTCAGGTAAGTTTGGCAGGTAAGTTTGTTCAGGTAATACTGTCTTGTTACAGGGGGCACCTGACTGGGTCTGGGGAAAGGCCCTGGGAGATGCTTCCTCTCTGAGCCTGTACCTCGGCCTGTGTGTAGGGAAGGCAGGTTGGTCACTGCTGCCTCGAAGCTAACCCAGCCTTACCTGGATCAGAAGCTATAATAGACTCACTTAGAGTAAAATCACTGGCTACCAGGGCAAAGCAGGACTTAGCTGTCTTCTCCCTGCCACAAGAAACAGGCCTGCCGTTGCTACCTCTCCAGTGAGAGTGAGGGTGACATTTGCCTCTGTGTGGTTTTCAGTTTTAGGAAGATGGAGTTTGGGAACTGGGGGCACGGGGAGGCCTGACAATTTTGACAAGGACTTACAGCAGGATTCTTGGGTGCTGCCCCCAGGACTAAACCACGGCAACATTTCACGAGGCCAGTTTGCCGAACGTATCGTGCCCAGGTCCGTCCTGGCTTATTGTTAGTTATCAGTTACTGTTAAATTTTAAGATTACCCTTTTTCATTCTTAAAAATGTCCTGCTTTGGGGGATAAATGATGTGGCCACCCAATATTTGGGGTACCTTTGGGGAATGTATCCTAAGAATGTGTACAAAGATGTAGCTTCCAGAGATGTTTATCACAGGGCTACTAGGCACGAAGAAAAGTTAGAGATACGTTATGTATCTACAATAATCCTACAATAAAGGATTAACTAAATTAGTTAAATAAATTATAGTACATCCACATAGTGGAATGCTAGGTAGCCATTAAAAAATGAAATGTAACAAAATAGTAAATAGCATAGAAATACATGCATACTATTAAGGAAAATTACTAAACACTATATATATGTCTATATAAACATATATGGTATTATTCAAACCTAGTTTACAAAGAAAAGGAAACATATGCACTTAAAAGGACTGGATACACAACACTGTAAAGCAATTATACTCCAATAATGATGTTAAAAAATAAAATAAGGACTGGATGAATACACAATAAATTGGTGGTGGTTATGTCTGGGAAGTGGGGTTAGAAGTGGCTTCTATATTCTCCCTTATGCTTTTCCTGTGCTTCTAAATTTTCTACAATGAGCATATATGTTGTAGCAGAATAATGACCAGAGATGTCTACATCCTAATGCTGGGAGTCTGTGACTATGTTAGGTTACATGACAAAAGGGAATTAAGTTTGCATATGGAACTGTCACTGCTAATCAGCTGACCTGGAGAAGGTGAGAGCAGCTGGGATAACCCAGGTGGGCCCAATGTCATCACAGGGGTCTTTACATGTGGAAGAGGGAGGCAGAACATTGATGCCCTGGGAGAAAGTCTCCACCAGCTATTGAAGACGGGAGGGAGCCAGAAGCCCAGAAAAGCCGGCGACCCCTAGAAGCTGGAAAAGGCAAGAGAACCGGTTCTCTCCTAGAGCCTCCAGAAAAGGAACTTGGCCCTGCTAACACCTTGCTTTGAGCCCAGTGAGTCTCATTTTGGACTTCTGACACCCAAAACTTTAAGGTGATAAACTTGTGTTGTTTTAATCTGCTAGGTTTGTGGAAGTTGGTTACAGCAGCAATAGGATTTTAATAAAACAAATTTCTCTTTTAGTCAGAAAAAAAGAGATGATGATAATAAAAGTCATTTTAGAAGAAAGGATTAGAAATCGCTCCTTGTAATTTAACCCAACAGCCATCCAAGGAGGAGCTAGGAGGAGGCCTGGCACAGTCTTCTTCCTACAAAAAATCTGCAGGAGGTGCCCATAGGCACAGCTGGCTGTTGTTTTGTTATTAGTAGAAAATAATAATGCAAGGGATATAACTAGATAACCCAAAGGGCCAGCAGCCTGAGAATTGTCCTACAGCAGGGCACAGTGAATTGCACAAAATCAGGCAAGAGCAACAAGTACTAGGGGTCCAGAGAGGGAGAACTCTGGGACTAAGCAAGGAAACCAGACTTGAAAGGAAACCCTTTTCAAGTGAGTGGAAACTGCCAGGTGGTTCTGCTGGTGTGTGCTGGCAAATCCCATTCTGGCACCAAGGGACAGAAGAGACGTGATGGGCACGGCTCATGGGGAGGTTTTCCAGCCCCACCCAGGGGCGCTTGTTTGCAGTCTTGCCCATTCTGGACTGTTCACTGAAGCACGCTCACGGTGGGGAGTTGCAGAGGATTCTCTCTTAGATAAAATCCTTCCCTGTTTGCTTTAAAGGAACTTTTAAGGAAACGCCAGACCCTTAGTAAAGGCTGCAGTGAAGAAGGCATCTGTAAATGGAAACAGCATTTTGTTTTTCTTTGTTAGGGGGTCCAAAACCACCTCCCTTTCTGGAACAGATAGGACTCCGTGCAGGTGGGTGCCAAGCTGGGCTCACACGCTCCACAGGACACTGCCTCAGCCCTGGACATGGGACGTGGTACTTCCTCTCCGAGTCGGGCCCCCAGGCCTTCTTCACCTGCCCTTCGCTGTCCCGGAGGCTCGGTCAGCCAGCACAGGTGCTGAACATTCATGATCCACTTGGTCAGTGGGGCTTCATTTTATTTGCTCAAGCCATACCTGCCACAAATTCCAGAAGGTGACGCCTTTTCCTAGTATTTCAGAATTTGATGAGCAAGTGGTTTATTTTATTCATGCTGTTCACTATTTCATATATATGTTTAAAAACCTTAATATATCATACATGCAAAATGATACGTGTTACGTATATATAACCACGCTTGAATACCCACCCCCACCCCCCGACCTCTTAGGAAACTTACTGGTACCTTTGAAGTCCCCTGTGGTCCCCTCTCTCCCAGAGGTAGCCCCGGGGATCACAGTCTTGAATTTCAGTGCGTCATTCTTCGGTTTTCTTTACAGTGTTACCACCTTAGTATGCGTGCCTATACAACATGCTATTTGCTTTTGCTAGTTTTAAAAAATTCATGTAAATGGAATGCACTGTATTCTCCTTCTGTGATGCTTTCTTTTCCCTCAGTTTTGTGTGTTTGGTACGCAGCCCTGCTGTGGTGTGTCGTCTTACCTCTCAGGCAGTCCCTCCTTAGCCTTCATCTTTCCCGTGACCCTGCAGCCTGAAGGGCCGTGGGCTTTGGGTTTGTCTTTGCCCAGTAGTCCCGTTGGAGACCCCCCTTTCTTTCTAATTATGCTCCTCTTGCTTCCTCCTTGCCACCTTCCACTGTAACCTCCTTCAAGTGCAAAGACCATCCCCACCACACACCCAGGCGTGTGCACCCACGCACAGGGTTTTTGTGCCTTTGTGACAAATCCACAGCCGTAACGCTCACGTGGAGGGGGTTTAATGATTGTGGCTCTTTTACTTTGCTGAAGTCTGGACCCTGGCAACAGAAATATGTTTTTCTTCCTATTTTAGGAAAGTGAAGCTTGCTTTTACTGCTCTTGGACTAGGCAGGCCATGCTTTGCAAATATTAGCGAGCACAAGAATTACCTGGGGGTGGGGATGGGAGCTTGTTAACGAGGAGTATTTCTGGACCCCGTTCCCTAGAGGTTCAGAGCCCGATTGTCTGGGGTGGGGCCCAGGAATCTGCATGTTAGTAAACATGCCTCTCTCTGCCCAGCAATTCTGATGCAGACTATCTTTGGCCACTCCTTTGGCAAACACTGGCCCCTGTGCCAGCCGGAATCAGGGGAGCTTGACTAGCCCTGCGGGGGGCGTTCTGTGGGCCTGGGGCCTGCTGGGAGCAGCCTGAGATGGACCCACGGAGAGGCAGGCAGGTGTTCGTGAGCCAGGCCTTTCACGCCACGCCAAGGGAGGGTTTAGCAGCGTGTGCCCTGGTCCTGCATCTTGGGAAGATCATCTAGTTGCTGTGTGGAGGGGTTAGGGCTGGAATCAGGGCACCAGTTAGGAACCTGTCCGGAAAATGACCTTGAAGTCATGACTGACAAGTCAGACAAAGCTGAGGGAGACACCAGGGTTCAATGGGGCAGCATTTTAGTGTCTATAAGGATGTATGGTCCTGAGAACCTGGAGAAATATGTTAGGAATGACACTCAAAGTTCTAGAGATAGGAGAAGACATTTATACTATCTAGAGAGCCAGGGAAACGCAAAGTCCAATCCAGTGACAAAGCCCACTGGCTGTAATCTAACTTGAACTCCTAAGCAGCGGTGACACACCTCTAAGGCAGGAAGGCCACCTCTCCTAGCTTACAGTGACCCTGAAGAGGAAGATACATAGGGTTGAGGTGTCCTTTCAGTTACTCACAAGAATCTAGTCAGAGCCTGGCCGAAATCTGGTCTATAGATGTCTGAGAAGCAATTTTTCCCTAAGTAAAGTGTTTCCAAACTTCTAAGATAAACCTGGGGCTTTTATGATCATGCAGATTACCTAGTCTTCTCCATGGAAATGCAGATTCATTGGATCTGGGTTGGAGCCTAGGAATCTGTATATTTAAGAAATGCCCCACATGGTTCTCATTTTCTGGGAAGTCTGGAAAATCCCACCGTCTGGGAAAACTTCTTTCGGCCCAGGAAGATTTATAACCAAGTATAGAAATGATTTAAAGGTAAACCTATAGTATTGATTCTTTTGTTCTAAGAATACCCTATGCATATTTGGCATTTTAAGTACTTGTAATGTCGAAGAGAATTTGCTCTATTAGGGGAAGGGTGAGACTTATAGTTCAGATTTTAAAGTGTAATTGAGTAAATGAGTTAGACTTATGATTTTGAGTTGAAAGTTTAATAAATTTATGTGTGGTGTTGAAAGTTAGGAAAACCTAAATTGTTACTATATTTATCCATTTAACTTACTAGATTTATATGTTTTTCAAAAGTTCTTGGTAAGATTTTGTTTGCGCAGACAATTGAGGAACTTAAGAAAAAATTGCATGTGTTAAATTTATAAATGTTTGAATGTGTTAAATTAATGATGCTTATAAAGTGGACCAAATATTAACCAAGTAACTACTAGCCAAAGAAATCCTTAAAGATGTTTGTTATAGTTTTGTTTACTAAATTTATAAATAGGGAAAAATATTTTAAGAACTTAAAAGCTAAAGGAAGATTTTTAACAGATGAATGGATAAACAATGCAATGAACATAGGAGTGCACAGATATTTTCAAATCAATGTTTTCGTTTTCTTCAGATAAAAACCAAGGAGTAGGGCTTCCCTGGTGGTGCAGTGGTTGAGAGTCCGCCTGCCGATGCAGGGGACATGGGTTCATGCCCCGCTCCGGGAAGATCCCACATGCCGTGGAGCGGCTGGGCCTGTGAGTCATGGTCGCTGAGCCTGCGCGACCGGAGCCTGTGCTCCGCAACGGGAAAGGCCACAACGGTGAGAGGCGCACGTACCGCAAAAAAAAAAAACCCAAAGAGTGGCATTGCCAGGTCATATGGTAGTTCTGTTTTTAGTTTTTTGAGAAACCTCCATGCTGTCTTCCCACCAACAGTGCACGAGAGTTCTCGTTTCTCCATGACCTCGACAACACTTGGTTATATTTTTGATGCTAGCCATTCTGACAGGTGTGAGGTCATGTCTCATTGTAGTTTGGGTTTGCACTTTCCTGATGAGCATCTCTTCATGTGCCTGTTAGCCATCTGTATGTCTTCTTTGGAAAGAATGCCTATTCTGCTCAGGAGTTCTTGATTTCCATTCTCCCAGTGTTGATCACATCCCAGCTGTGCTGGGGCATCCTGCCCTTCATTGGATGCTGCAGAACAGGTGCCTTATTGGTGAATCAGCCCTCAGGCCAGGGCTGCCCTAAAGGAGGCATCAGTGGAGGCTTTGTCTGGCCTTAGACCTCTGCTACTTGGAAAGGGAAGGCAGCCCCGGTCGGAATGGGCCTCCACATGGCCTTTCTTCCTCTTGGTCTCCCTCTCTTGCTTGATGGCTGGAATAGAAGCTCCTCAGAGGCCAGGCCCGAGCCCTTGTCCACAATCAGGTCTCAGGTCCAACTCCACGTCTGGCCTGGCTCCCAGGCCCTGGGACAAGGTGGTGAGTGTGGAGGGACTGTCCAGCTCCTCGTGCAGGGAGAACCGGGCCTGCCACCCTCTTGCTGTCAGGGAGCCCCAGGTTGAGGGGTCCACCCAGGAGTGGGTGGCACATGGCTGTACCCCTGTGGGGATGGGGCTGGCCTCATCCCCACACATTGCACACCAGCATCTTTTTCAGAGCCCTTTGGGGGCCCCCGGACAAGGAAATGAAGCAGGGGGTTAGGTTCCTGGGGCCATTTGCTAGATGAATAAGCGGGGAAGGTGAGGAGGAAGTAAGGGGGTGAGAAAGGCCTCTGGAAAACAGGTGCTTCCTGTTCCTACCAGGAAGCACATCTCCTGCTGGATTCAGGCTCCTGGATGGTAGAGAGTGACACTTGTGACATCTACTGCCTGCTGTTGCTGCAGGCTGCCCCTGTGCCTTTAATCATGTTGAAGTCTTGAAAGAGCCCTGCAGGGGGGAAGAACACCCTTCCTCTTCCAACATTTCTGCCAAAACATCAATGCCTCAGAGACCCTGCATGGTTACGACCCTGCACGGTAAGGCTTAGCTGCTGACCTCAGGACACCTGTCATCTGTGAGGGAGGCTAGGCCATCACCTCAGGCAGAGAAACAATAGTGACCCAGGTGGAAAAACTCTCATAGAAGAGGTGGATGGCACAAGTCAGGTAGGTTCCCAGAATGGGTATAAAGCCTCCTTCGTCATCAACATTTGGGAACTTTGGTCTTCGAGGAAATGAGCGAGGTGGCCATCAAATCGTGACCCTTAAGACCAGGACGAATTCTTTTTTTCTGGTATCTACCTCTGTCTTTACTCCCAAACTCCAGAAAATCAAGAGGAAATAAGATCAGAGTCAGCCCTGGGGCCAAGACTGCCCGCAAGCAGCTGAGGCTGGTTGATCCTTCCCTGAAGGAGCTCCCACCAGCCTCTACACAGTGTTGCCTGTAACCAAACACTGGCTTTAGAGTTAGGGCCGCGGGATGGCTCGTGACCTTAGGAACTCAAAGCTGACACCATTTGGTATAGCAGTAAAATCCTGAGGTCAGGCCTGGGAGAAGCCCATTGGCCTCTGGTATTTGACCCCTGCTTAAGTGTTCCTTGTCCCTGTATGGAGTCATTTCTCAGAGCTGAGCCACACGGGACTGCCAAGCACCAGGGCCATGAGAGGGCCCAAGTGAATGATCCAAGTAAAACAGAGAACTCGCCACGTCGGCACTGACATTCCCGAGTTAGGAGAGAGTACAGCAGCTTTTCTCAGTTTTGGCTGAAATATGGGAATTACCTGGGCAGCTTAAAAAATATCAAGACCCAGGTCCCACCCCCAGAGATTCTAAGTTGGTTTTGAGTTGGGCCAGGTGACTCTAATATGCCGCCATCAGCACTGAGAGCCACGTTAACACCTGGCTGGCCAACTGGCGTCTCTGTCGGGGTTGAAGCCCATCCGCACGGCTTCTGGTGCACGCTCTGTCTTTGACGTCTGTTGTGTTGGTCCGAGGAGAAAGGACAAAGGAGAATGCTGCTCTTGGTATGTTTCTGGGTGGTGTATTTCTGGCAGGCCAGAATTTAGAAGCTTTGGGTGAAGAATGAATTTTCTGCTGCCTTCTTCTGTCTCCAGCTGTATCGGGGGGTCTTAATGACCCAGGATGAGGTCATGTCCTGGTGGTCACTAGATACCCCTAAAGATCGCCCAGTGGGTGGTGAGTTCCCGAGGCTGGGGGTCATCTCCAGGTGGTAGGGGCACATGGCGGGCTCTGTGGACTCTTGTTCCTGCCATAGTTCTGAGCCCTTAAAGTGGATACTCACAACTTGGACTTGCTCTTCTTCTTCTGGTCTGAGATGAGGTGAAACAAGCCTGTGGAGTGACTAGGAAAACTAGTGATTAGAAGGATGATCTAGAGTCTAAACTGTGGGAGCAGTTCCACAGGTATGAAGAAGGGGGAGGGCATCGGGGACCCGTGCAGTCACGGAAGGCTCCGCAGAGGAGGTGAGACTGGAGTCTGGAAGAACTTAGTTATGAGGATCAGGGGAGGGGAACTTTTAGCAAAGGTGAGTGAAGATGTTGAAAGAGGAGATGACAAAATTATAAACAAAGATCAGCTGTTAGGATCCATGTGGTATAAGGAGGGGCAAGCAGGTTGGCTTTCTTCAAATAAGTCTCACCCTGGGATTCTTTGGTCAGAAATGAAAAAGATTTTCTTTTTTTTTTGTAGTTCTCAAAATGAGATCCCCAGACCAGAATCATTAGCATCACCTGAGAGCTTATTAGATCTGTAAACTCTCAGGCCCCAACCTACTGAATCAGACTCTGGAGGTGGCGTCCAATAATCTCTCCCTTTCCAAGCCCTCCTGAAGCTCATTTGTTTGAAGGCCACTGTCCTCCTCTGCACCCTTATCTGCTAAGTGGACTCTGGTTATTATTGTCAGAGACAAGGGACCTGTTTATTCTGGGATATGTCACTGCCCTCCCACTGGTCGATGGTCATATTATTACTGACCTTTTGTCCTGTCCAAGTGACACAGAGTCAAATAGTCGACAGACCCTTATTCACATAACTCAGCCAGCCTTTATGGAACAGATGCCATTTGCTAGGTGCTATTCTATGCTAAGCCCTGGGAATGCAACAGTGCACAAATCAAAGTGTGCTCTTCCATGCAGCTTATGTTCTAGTCAGGGGATGATCCATCAATTAAACATAAAAATATCTATAAGTTCTAGATTTGGAGAAGAAAAATATAAGTGACGGGGAGGGGTGTTTTCTCAACTGTGGTTAGAGAATATTTATCTGAGGTGATATTCGAGCAGAAACCTGGTTGAAATGAGGGAGAAACCACATGAATTTGAGGGAGAGCGCCCAGGCACGGGGAACAGAAGTGTCGAGTCCCTGAGGTAGGAACAGAATGTTCTAAGATGAGAGAGGAAGTCAGTACAAGGTGGAGAGAGACAGGCCCGGGAGGCAATGGCTAGATCACGAAAGAAACTTAGTGATCCTGTTCAGGTGACTTCCCTGTAAGTGAGGGCAGGCTACTGGAGGGTGTTGAGGGTGTGAATGATGTGGTATCTCTCTGAACAAAACTCACGCTGAAGAATGGACCATTCCATAAGAGTAGAAGCAGGGAGGTGAGTTAGGAAGGCTAGAATAATCCAAGTGAGAGATGTGGTATAGAGATGGGAATGAAAAGTCGTTGGAGTCTAGGTGTTTTGAAGGAGGAGCCCTAAGTCCATGCGGATGTATTCCTTTGGGGCAGAGAAGACTGGACAGTGGCTTCTGGGTTTAGGCGACTGGACCTGCCTTTTTCTCTGGTCTAAAGGCCCCTGAGGATTTCCCTGGCGGTCCAGTGGTTAGGACTCTGCGCTTTCACTGCGATGGGCCCAGATTTGTTTCCTGGTCAGGAAACTAAGATCCCACAAGACACGTGGTGTGGCCCCAAAAAGTAACTAAATAAAATAAAATCCTATTAACAAAATAAAGGCCTCTGTCTTCCCACAGTCCTACACCCGCAGGAGGGATGGGGGCAACCTGGAGGCATTCAGAGGATCTCTCCCTTCCTCTAAACTCTGCACTGGCCATCGGAGGCTGCCTCGTAAGCTTTTTTCTCCTTATAAATGTCATTCTTTTCCCATAACTGAACTGTGTTCTCAAGGGCTATAGCTAAGCTTCCCTGAATCTCCCCACCCCATCCATTCCCAGTAGAATAAAACCAGTTGTGAGAACATAGAAAAGCATGCCATGGATGAAACGTTGGCTAGAACCCTTTGAAGTAGAAATGGCAGTCTTAAAGACAAGAAAACTGAGATTCAGGGAGTAAAGCTACTAGCCTGATAACAGCTACCCATTAAGAGAGCTTCCTTCCTGCTAGGGAGGTTTGGATGGTCGTGTGTGTGTGTATGTGTGTGTGTGTTTTCTCACCACCACCAAGCAATTATCCAACACCAGCTAGGTGTCCTACAATTCAACTCAGTTCTGAAACTACCTAGAGATAGCATCAGATTCCACTGGTTAAGGGCTCAGTCCCACAGGTCTGCCCTCACTTCAGATGCCAGTCACAAGTCCAGGTTGTTACTTGTGCCTCTGACTCACTGGCTGTTAACCGGAGGTTCCCATGACCCCCTCCTCAGGTTTGATTAATTTGCTGGAGTGACTTTCAGAACTCAGAAGAACAGTTTACTTATTAGATTGCTGGTTATAGGTAACTCAGGAA